CAGACTGCCACTCAGCAGTGTGGGGTGTTGTTTGTTTTTCTTGGTCCACATCTAACTGTATGGAATGCAATCAGCACCTTGTTAATAAGGAGCACTTTGCCCCGATTACTTACATGATTTCTGTCATGTAAGGAAATCTGATAAATCAATTATTTCTTCAGCTCCATTTATATGTCATTTCTGCAACATATAACTTGCAGAACAAGTTGACTGCAGCAAAGCATAGAAATGCACATTTTAAACAATAAAATAAAAATGGGAGCTAGAAATGTTAATGTTAAATGGCAGAGCTTCAGGAAGTCTTGCCTTTCTGGTTTCTTTTTATTTCATTACTCTGTGGGTCAAAAATGTATGGGTGGATTATAATCCACCCACCACTACTACCAGAAGAATTTATTGTTCCTTGGAACATTTTATAGTTTTTGAATGTTTATATTTTAAGTTCAGAAAGATATTTAAAAGCCAGAAATTAAATATGATACAAAATCATATTCCTATTACAAAAAAGATGTCAACCAGACAAACTATGAGCATGAACATCAAGTGAATCTTACATAGATCTAGCAATCCTCAAATTATGGTCATTTTTCTAAAAAAGGTTCAATGGCATTTTCCCTCCCAAACATGCATATATAACACATGCAATTTTACTTATGGGAATTACAGACCAGACTTCCTGGAGCCAGAACTCTATTGATGGATTACTTATTCTTATTCAGGTCTTAGCTATAATCATTTTCACAGTATTAGCTTGCAGCAAAAGTTACCGTACCTCTACTCTTCTGCTGTATAAAAGATGTGGTGTCATTGAAGGGGATGAGTTTCGGAGCAAAGGTTCATTATCTCTTTTAATTTCCTGTATCACCTTGGTAACCTTTATCCAGTAAGACTTCAATGGCCTTTAGTATTATTTTATCAGATATGTAAGTGACTTGAGTTATGCATCCTATCTTTTGAATGCTCAGTACTAATATTTATAAATACTTTTCTTATTCATCTGGAATATGGTGAAATATAATGTTTCCTCAGAATCACATTTAAAATGCTATTGATATGTCACCTTTAGAAAAACATTCAGATGCCTTTGAAGGATCAGAATTTGCAAATCATTCTCCCGTTTGCTCCAGTATGTCATTTTCTAGTTACACTGGTTCTCAACTTTTTCTATCTTATATCTCACCAATAATTCTGTTAAAATAACCGTGGGCATGGTGGAAACAAAAAATCCACTTTTTTTGTTTCAGGGTGTAAAAGTTACAGTAGTTACTAGTGGGAGTAAAGGGGGAGGGGAAAGAATTCCATTAGCAACTGAAAAATCAGCTGAAAGCAACTGAAAATCCAACCTAATATCTACCCTGGATTTTATTTGAAATCAGTACAGGCACCAACAGCTGACAATCACCGTTCCAGTGTCAACCTGATAACCATCCCATCCCATTTTCCTCCAATTAATTCTGTATAGTGAGCAACGCTTGGCCCAGGAGTTACATAGGCATACACATTCAAAGGCCTGAAGCACAGCGCCCAAGGCGTACTATCTGCCAGATTCCTCTCTGCCTACTTTCCAGCAATTTTCCTGGTTCAACCCACAGTGAAGAAGAACACCAGTTTTGCTGGGGTGATATATATGGGGTGCGAGTGTGTACGTATATGGGCATGCATACACACACCCCAGTGACACTTCCAAATAAATTTCCATAGCAAGGATTTGAACCTATGTCTTGCAAGTCCTAATTCATCATTCTATCAACTACACTATATTGGCTCTCAAGTACCAAACGTAAAGATTATAATAAAATATGCTCAGATAATTTTAGAGAGTGATTCTCATTACACACTGTAAAAAGTGTCAGTAGCTTTCCAACAGTCTACCATGAACACTACAGATGAATAGGCTAATGACCATACTTCACAGATCACATCATAAGACTTGCACAGCAAGTTGTGTGCAGTCTCTGCACCTACCAGTTCTCCAAATAATTTGTTAAGAAATGTACTGAGGGGGAACATTAGGTTAATTTTCAGCTTAAAAATAATCTGAAGATTAGATATTATGTATGTAAAGGAGTCTTAAAACTTGCAGCCT